CCCCGGCTCTCGGAAAGCCCGTGCTCGTCCGGGTGACCAGAACTCGTCACTGGAACAGGCTTTCTTAGTGACTCCTCCCTCATCGCTAGACGGAACTTTAGGTCACTTGGTTTTTGTTTCAAAAGGCGCCAGATAAGGGACAGAGAATATTAAGTACGTAATTTGGTCATCTCTGAGTTTTCCGTGCCAGTGATAGTTGATACCGTTTCCGCAGCGCAGTCTCTTCCCCAGCCTGCTTAGATAACGTGCTGGGAGCCTGCGGAATCAGACATTGGGTCGCAGGGAGTGGACCGTGGAGCTGGTGGTGGAAGCCGGGAAGCGCCTCACTGCTCCTTCCGCGTTCTCGGGCGTCGGAGGAGCGGTCGAGCCGATGCGGAGCAGTTGCAGGAGAGCGGCCCATCCCAGGACCAGCGGAGGAGCAAGTCCAGGCCGGTCTCTTTCTCCCATCCTGCTTGAGGTTGAGACGACTTCTGAAAGCAGTACGAGGACGCCCCGATTTAATTGGCCTGAATTAGGCAGAACAGGCCTTGTCAGTGGCCCACTGGGTTCTTATAGAGGAATACTAAATATAGAGGGTCTGACATTTCAAGACCTAACTTTAAAAACAACTTTTTTTGTCTATTTGAGACCTGAAATATAGAAATGTTACAATGAATGGAAACTATGACACCATGGAAACAGCTTTTCCAAAGAAAATAGGGATTTTATGAAAATTAAATATATGCAGTCCGCTTTTCATTATTAGCTTACATATCTAATTTTGCTTTTTAGTGAAAGTGATTATATGTCAATGTTTGGTGATGTGAATCCCCATTAGAAGAGTTGGGAGGCAGGTAAAGCAGAGGAACAGGAGTAGAATGGAGCCAGCAGAGCTGGTTTCTAGTCTTGATTACCCCAGAACAGTGCACACTCTGGGCAGGGTATTGACACAACCTTGCCACTCAGTGCCTAATCTGTAAAGTGAGGATTTAGTAGTGTCGTAGGCCCCTCCCAGCCCAAATGACTCCTTATTTTTGAAGAAGCATTGGGGGCCCCTTATTTCAAAGATGAGATCTCTGTAATAAAAGGGAAGCTTATCTTTTTTTTTTTTCTTTCTTTTTGTCTTTTTTACTGACTGGTAACGGGATCGCAACCCTCGGTGTCGCACCCGCACTGCGCTCAGCCAGTGAGCGGGAACCGATCTCCACATGGGATCTGAACCCTCGCGCCGCAGCACTCCCAAGCGGCGCACCCTCCAGTGCGCCACCGGCCGGCCCTGGGAAGCTTATCTTGTCAGGGGGAGGGAAATTCTGTAGCATTGGTTTCTCTCATTTTGATTTTTATAAAGTGGATTAGTCATCTTTCTGACCCCTAAACAAAACCAAACTACCAGTTCCTCCTTCTGTCTTCCATGAATTGATGGACAGTAATTATTAACCAGTAGCCAAGCTAGTAACCTGAGAGGTAACTTTATTCATCCCTTCCCATATCTACAACGGGAAAGTCCAACTAAGTTTACCACGTACAGATTTTAGGTTTTTATCCTCTTCCCTGCATTCCTATGGTTCATTTCCTCAGCATTTTTGACCTAGACTTTAACCATCTCTTTTGAGACCCTTGCTCACCTTACTATCAGTCTGGCCTCCTGACATGTAAATATGATCGTTACTGCTGTCCTTAATTTTTTTCATTGGTTCCCTATGACTTACAGAATAAAAAATAAACCGACAGGTCAAAGCATTAGCATAGTGATTAAGAGAGCATGCTTGGAATCCCAGTTTCCACCTTTATTAACTGTGTAACTTCGGGTAAGTTATATAACCTCTCCCTAATTAATTATAGTATTTACCTCATAGGGTTGTGAGGGTTGCTGCCACCTAACATCTAGTAAGGCCTTAATACATATTAGCTGCTTTTATTATTTTTCAATGTTTTTTGCATGTACGGTTGGTCACAATCTATAGGTGGTACCCTGACTGTGATAAAAGTATTCTCTCACATTTCCTAATATAAACAGGAACTGGACCCCAACCTAAAAATTAAAGTTGCTAATTTTATGTGCTTAGAGCCGGAACTTTTGAGAGATCTTTATTCAAAGAAACCTATACTCAGTTTATTCCCTGATTGCTTCTCATTTGGGTCCTGATGTTAATCTGTTAATTTTGGCCACAGATAGATTCCTGCCCAGCCCTTCCTTATCTCAGAGTGCATGCAGTCTGTATTGATAAACTGTGAGGAATACTGAGAATGAGCTTTCTTGGCATTTGCTGTAGTTGGTGAGATAACTAGCATAGTGCATTTCTGAGTGTGTGGAAGCTGGGAAAGCAGTGAATGCCTTCAATCATATGTTCATGTCATATGCCAGTACCCCCAAATTATGCTTGCAGTTTCTGCCTAGTTTCACTTCCAACTTCTGTATCCTACAGCTCCCATGACTTGATTTCATTTTAATGTATTGGAATCACTCATGATTTCAGTTCTTAGAAGCTGTTTATAATCACAGGGAAGACTGCCCATGTACAGGGATTCGGTTGACAACTTTTTTCTACCTTGTTTGGCAGAAAGATGTCATGATCTGAAAAATAGAAGGGAATCAAGTATTTACTCCGAGAGCTCATTTCCTTCTAGAAAAGAGTTGTGTGTGTATCAAATAAGTTCTTGTTTTATTGTCCTCTCTTTGCTCTATCCCTCCCTAATTGTGCATGCACACACCCTTTGAGTTGTTTTATTAGAGTTATTTGTATTATCATTGAATGTAGATTTTCCATTATACTTAGACTTCACACCCAGGTAAAGGAAAAGTTGTTTTGGACTCATTTACCCTTGAGCATCTGATGAGAATTAAGGATTTGTTGTAAAGAAAACACTAAGTTTAGCATTGTATTTCATATCAATGTTCATGGACTTCCTGAAGTCAATACTTGGATACCAGTTAAGTGCATTGATGTGGGGCCTTACAGGATGAATTCTGTGAATTTACTTTTATGAATTAAACTTAAACCAGTAATTATGCTTATCAGTGAGATTAGTTTGTCTGCTTTGGTTGGCCTTAAAAAACAAGTTGGAAAGTTCCAGTTTTATTTACTCTCTGGAAGAGTTTGTGTAAGATCGGTGATACAGTTCTGGTTCTGGTGACACTTGATGTCTCTTGAATTGATTTTTCTTAGATTGTTTCCAAGTGATCCCTGTGAAGGTTAATATTGATTTTTGAGAACAAGAATATTATATAGGCAGGGTGGAAATAAATACTAAGGATCAGCTTCTGTTTTAAAAAAGGCTAAAATGACTAGGAATGTTTTGTTTGTTAAAAAAGTTAAGTGATTTAGGGACATATTAGAGAAAAAATTGTAACAATCAGCTTTCAATTCTTTTTAATACTGTTAGGAACCAGTATGATTATTTCAGTAATAATAAAATAGTACTGGGACACTGGCACAGCCAAGCCCTGTAAGTACATTATAGCAGATAAGGGAAGAAGGCAAAAGCATTTATGAACAGTTGACATAGTGAAGTTTATAAGAGCAAATATATTATGCATTTAAGGCAAAAACATTTATATTTCATATTTAGAATTATACAAATATTAATTCACCATCATCAAGCCTAGCATCTGTCATGACAAAGACCTGTTGCTGCTGTTGTTCTTAGGCCTGCTATAGGCAGGATTTGTAGACCTTGCTTCTTCAGATACTTGAGCATCCTTTCCTGCCATTTATCTTATTAGATTAAGTCTTTGAAGACAGAGACTACAACTATGTATCCTTAAATCCAAAATTGTCCTTTAGGAGGTGATGAATAAATATTTATTAGTGAAAAGGTAAATCATTTCATCTAGCCTTGAACCAGTGAATTATGCTTACCAGTGAGATTAGTTTGCTTACTTTGGTTGGCCTTATAAAACAAGTTGGAGAGTTCTGGTTTCTTCTATTTGCTGAAAGAGTTTGTAAGATTGATGATACAGTTCTAGAACTTTATAGTTCTTGGCCTTTTGGGGTCTATGTAGTTCTAGAACAATTCAGGTCTCCGATTTGATTTTCACTTTTTCTGT